AAACCTTTGGATAATTATATTGGAGTCAACAAAAGTAGCAGACAGAAAAATGAGGGGTAGAGGAGTCAGGCCCACATCATTCCTTCCTCTAGCTGGTCTTGGTTGAGGAACCCAGCAGAGGGGGCATGCAGGGCTGGCTTTCCAGGTGGCACTGGGGACTGAGCCCTAGAGCCTGGGGTGGGGAAGGACTAGTTGAGCCCTGGGGTTGGACCAGTGAGAGAGTGATTTCCTGGCAACATCAGAGTGGAGTTTTTTTTTTTTTTATTTAAGTATAGTGGACACACAGTGTTACATTCGTTTCAGGTGTAAGACACAGTGATTCAGTTAAGTTTCTACATTCTGCTGTGCTGACCACAAGTGTAGCTACCATCTATCCCCATACAATGCATTACAGTGTCATTCCCTATATTCCTTAGCTGTGCATTTTATTCCTGTGCCTTACTCAGTCCATGACTGCAAATGACCCAGCCCCCCCAGCCCCTCTGTCAACCATCAGTTTGTTCCCTGGGTTTATAGGTCTGATTCTGGTTTTTGTTTTTCTTAAATTCTACATATGAATGAAATCATGTGATATTTCTCTAAATAAGTATAATACTTTCCAGGTCCATCCATGTGCTCACAATGGCGTGATCTCATCTTTTTTATGGCTGCATAATATTTGTGTGTGTGTGTGTGTGTGTGTGTGCGCGCGCGCACGCGCGCACGCATGCCACATCTTCCTTATTCATTCATCTCTTGATGGACACTTAGGTTGCTTCCATATCTTGATGATTGTAAACAATGCTGCAAAAAACACAGAGGTGCATATATCTTTTAGTGTTTTGGTTTTCTTTGGGTGAATCCCCGATAGTGGAATTATTGGGTCATATGGTATTTCTAGTTTAATTTTTTGAGGAAATTCCGTACCATTTTCTACAGTTGACTGCACCAATTTAAATTCCCACCAACAGTGCACAGAAGGGTTCCTTTTTCTCTACATCCCGTCATCTTTGTTATTTCTTGTCTTTTTTACTTTAGCCATTCTGACAAATATAAGGACATATTTCATTGTGGTTTTGACTTGAATTTCCCTAATGATGAGTGGCGTTGAGCATCTTTTCATGTATGTTGACCATCTCTAGGTCTTCTTTGGAGAAATGTCTATTCATGTCTCCTGCCCTCTCTTAAATTGGATTATTTGTTTTGATGGTGTTGAGTTGTTTAAATTCTTTGCATATTTTGGATATTAACCCCTTATGAAACTGGGCCACTTTCTAACACTGTGCACAAAAAGAAACTAAAAAATGGATCAAAGATCTCAATGTGAGATCTGAAACCATAGCAGAGGTTTGAGCCAACCTGGCAATCACTTTGACCAGGCAAGTCCTTCATGGCCTGCACTCACTCCCCACACCACAGGATGGCTCTGTAGAGCCCAAAAGAAGAGCACAGGCTTCTGGAGCCACATCAGCCTGGTGTTGGAGGCAGGGGCCTGTAGCCTTGGGGCCCCTCAGGGATTCAAGCTGCCGGGACATCTGTGCTTCAGGCCAGAGCATTTCCTGAAGCTGCTTTCAGCAATTTCTCTGCTGAGTTTTCCTATGGGCAATACACTTTCATGGGTATAGCCTCCTTTTTAGATATACCAGCAAACTTAGTAGGTGATGTGATTCATCATTTCTATCATCGGGAATGGTACACCGTCGGCATGGGCACCCTCTCATAGACAGTGGAGGGGATCACACCGGTTGTGGCTCATGTGCCACCCCAGTTTAGCTCTCTTGACACTCCCTTCCCTCCCACTGTAGTGGACAAGAGAGACATAGTGGTGCTGGGATTGGGAAAGCCCTCCAGCTGCCCTAATTCATGCAGAAAAAGTAGAAGTACTTTTCTGAGAAAAGTACTCAGAAACATTATTTATCACACCCCCATAACTGATTGGGGCACCTGGCCTAGATGATGCTATAGGAGAAGACTGAGGTGCACCCCACCAGCCCCTGCACAGTTTGCACATGGGGCCAAATGGACCAGTGGACTCTGGGGGCCAGAAGGGTCATCTGTAACCCAGTCTTCATCTCTCACTTCCTGCTGCTCCTCCATCTCCCCCATTACACCCCTCATTCCCCCCGTACCCCAGAAGAGTGAACGGGCTTTTTAGGTGTCAGAGATGCTGAGGTCATCCTTTTAGGCAAGATGATTGGTCCCCCCTGCATGAACCCAGCCATTGGAATGCCAGAGTCTAAAGAGTAAACCTACCTATTGGCTGGGGGTCTGTGATAAGGAGAGTGACAGCTTGAGCTCCCTGGTTCCCAAGCTCCCTCTTGACATTCCTTCCCAGGTCCTCAAGGAGGTGTTTGGGCTTGAGGCAGCAGCAGGGCCCCAAGTAGAAGCCCCTAAGGTGAAGAGTATCCCCAAGAGATCCCCAAGACTCAACAGTTTTTTAAAAATTCATTCATTCATATATTCTGCATGAAGCACTGAAATGAGGTAGAGGAACAAGACAGTCCATACTCTCAAGGGGCACACAGTCTGGTATGTGTATTGCCAGAAGAGAGAGGGAGTGGCTTAGAGAAACAAAGGACAATTGTGCAATGTCATAAGTGCCAAAAGGAACAGTCCTTCTGTGGGAGCCTAGAAACTGGAGTCACTTCTACCTTATAGACTCAGGAGCGGCTTTACGGAGGTGGAGACATTTGATCTCGGTGCTGAGAGATGGGTAGGAGCTCGTGTGATAGGGCAGAGAAGAAAGAACATTCCAAGAAGGTTGTGTGCAAGGGAATGGAATGTTCAGGAAATGTATAACTTTAATGTGACCCACAAAAACAGTTCTCAGAGAGGAAGGGAAATCAAAGAGTTAGAAAAAGACGAGGGGGGGCGCCTGGGTGGCTCAGTGGTTTAAGGCCTCTGCCTTCAGCTCGGGTCGTGATCCCAGGGTCCTGGGATCGAGCCCCGCATCGGGCTCCCTGCTCGGCGGGGAGCCTGCTTCCTCCTCTCTCTCTGCCTGCCTCTCTGCCTACTTGTGATCTCTGTCTGTCAAATAAATAAATAATATCTTAAAAAAAAATAAAAAAGAAAAAGACGAGGGACATTAGGCTGAGGAGATGGAAGGAACCCAGCACAGAAGGCCTGGTGGGTTCTCCTCAGAGATCAGGGAAGGCCTTGCTGCCTGGTTTGAGGAGGTGCCATTATCAGCACATGCTCTTCCAGCTTCTGGGAGCAATAATCAGTCCCGGTCCTCAGTCCTGTTCTCTGTAACCCTGTGGTTTAAACAGTGGAGTGGAAGGGCTGGAATGAAAGAGCAAAGAGGACTGACAAAGCCGACCAGCACCAACCAGGTCTGAAACAGATGGACCCCAGGGACCCCCCAGAACTGCGTCGAACCCTGCGGGTCTGGTGAGACCTCTCCAGGAGACAGGCCTGGGAGGGCTGAGGAGACTGACGTGCCTCCACAGCCTTGTGTGCAAGAAAGCAGAGGTGGGAGGGGCGCCTGGGTGGCTCAGTGGGTTAAAACCTCTGCCCTCAGCTCAGGTCATGATCTCAGGGTCCTGGGATGGAGCCCCGCATGGGGCTCTCTGCTAGGCGGGGAGCCTGCTTCCCTTCATCTCTCGCTTCCTGCCTCTCTGCCTACGTGTGATCTCTGTCTGTCAGATGAATAAATAAAATCTTAAAAAAAAAAAAAGAAAAAAAAGAAAGCAGAGGTGGGGGATGTGAGGAAGAAGGAAAACCAGACACCGGTTAGGATTTTCGGGTTCCTGCTGCCTCTGCTTTTATATCTAGTTTCTTTCCTGTGTTTTTGTCCCCACTCCCCAGTTTTAGAACAAGGGTTAAGGACAGCCACAGCCCTGTGCTCAGGGATGGCCTCAGCCTAGACATGGGTCAGCCCGGTGCAGAGCAGGCGACACGGACTCCTGGCCCCGTGGTTACAGCAGGTGTCTCCCACCTCAACAAGAATGAGCGAGAATGTCCCAGCATAACAGGAGGTGCAGGAGGGCAGCCTGGAGCTGTCTCCTGTGTGGCTTTTCACCACTGTTTATTCCTGTTGTTTCCTCTCAAAGAAAAGTGAAGTGTCTGCCATCTTGTGGCAGAGGCTGGGTACTGCCTGGGCCCCTACAGTCACCTTCCCACTACTCCCCAAAAGGGATGTTGCCTGGCCGTGGTAAGAGCTGGTGTGTTGAGGAGGAGGGAGCCTGGGCAGTCGTGCCCACTGGTACTGACCTCTCTGCTTCAGTGAAGAAGCGTCTGGAGTCAGTGGCTGTGAACCCCAGGGCCTCAGGAAGGCTATCCTTGGTCATACAAGGAGGATGGCCATTTGTAAAAGAGAAATAGGGTGAGTAGTGTGTGAGGAGGTCACCCTCAGAGAGGACAGAGCCTCTGTGGGGTGGGGATGAGGCGAGTGCGTGGAGACCTGGCAGCCCCAGGGGCTGGGTCTTGGCCCTGAGGGTGAGGGACTGAGAAGGAGGCAGAGGATCTCAACAGCAGAGCAAGCTCCTGTGCAGTGTGACTGTAGCCAGGAAGTTTCTGAGGTCCAAATATGAGGTCCCTCAGAATATGGAAGACTCACGTCAGCCTGCCAGCAGTATCTCGGGTAAGAACCAGAGGGCAGCAGACCCGACACAGTGTCTGCAACAGTGTGAGTGGATGAGCTCTCTGAGGGCAGTCCCATGTGCACATGATTTCTGGGCTCCAGCTCCACTGCTAAAGCTGGGCCCCTTTTAATTGGCATTTAAATGAAGCTACAAGAAACAGATTATTTTAAATCAGTCCTAGAAGTTCTCTGCCTCTCTCAACTCAGGCCAGGAAATTCAAGTCGTGACCTTATATCCTGTTCTTTCCATGAGCTCTCAAGTGCGGCCTGAAGCAGCCAGAGTACCCCCCTTTTCGTCTTCACCAGAATAGTCCACCGCCACAGCCACCTAGGGTCCCAAAGCCTTCCTACAGTGGACATTTCTCTGTAGGCAAATACTAGCCATAATTTAAGTAAATGCCGACTACACCCTGTGGGCACTGACCCATTCGCCCTCACTGTGAGGCCAGTTCTAACTCTAAATCTGGCCAGGGCAGTTAACCATTCCAGATTCTCATCCTCACTGAGGTTTTGGTTTCGGAAAACAATTCTGGAACCCACTGCTGTGTTAGCTGGAGCTCAGTCGTGGAAACAGAGTGTTCAAGGTGTTTCAAACAGGAGGGTGGATTTTACAAAGGGAATTGATGCTTCCAGAATCATTAGAAAGGCTGTCTGAGGGAAGGTCGGGGAAAAGCACCACTTTTTTTCAGGATCCCGAGAAGTTAAAGAAATTGCTAGAAATCATTGCTGGTGACTTTGCCTGAGGCAGGACTGTCCACAATTGTCAGAAAGAGCTGGCAGAGTCTTGGTCTGTCTTTTGGAGATACCTGTGCCCATCCTCCTGGCTGCACCTTGCAGATAATGGCCTCTCTTCTGCCAAATTTCATGTGTGCTTCTCTCATTGGTGATATCTAAACTGGAGTGGCACTGGCAGTAGAATTTGGGAAATGTAGTTTCCAAGCTTCCAGCTTCTGCAGGGTGAGCTGAGAATGTCAGGGATCAAGACACAATCTCTGACACGTGCTTTTAAATACGGATGATAATAATAGTACTTCCTTCATATGGCTGTTGAGAGGCTAAAATTAACACTGTGAAGTCTTTGCAAAGAGTGTGGCATATGGTAAGCCCTCGCTAATTGCTCGTTTACAAAAAATTGTCAAAACTGAAGTCAGAATGGCTCCTCGTTCTCATTTCTAACCCCTGTAAGGAATCTGGCTGCTTCCGAGTGGTGGGGTCCAACCACCGGCCTTGGCAAGGATCCTGTCCCTTACCATCCTGGGCCTACTTGGCGTCAGATCCTCAGTCTGCCTCATTCTGGCTCAGAGGGCTGGATGGAGACTCAGGAAGAAGGGGGAAGGTTCTCGGGGGAAAAACGGCAGCAGTGACTCATGCTGAATGTTAATACTGGAGTCCCCCTGCTCTGCAGAGGGAGGACTCCATCTCCAATGGACCGACAGTCAAACACTGCCCAGATCCCTCATGCGAGTGCAAGTCGGGGCTCTGCCTGGCATTTCCGGACCAAATGGAATCCGCAAACCGGGGGGTCGAGTCTCTGTGGCCTTGTGCCCAAATGCTCCGAGCAGCCTGCAACAAGAAAGAATTAGGGCACAGCTGAAATCCAGAAGGGAAAGGAAACGGGCTAAGATCCACGGGGAACAATGTCTATTTCTTAATCTGTCTCCTGCCCCAAATAGCTCTGCTCTCCTCCCCCACTTGTGTTTACCGGGTCTGTTTCTTTCTGTGGCAGCAGATGCCATGAGGCATTAAAGTAGGTCACAGAGGGCAGCGATGAACCCACAAAGGCCCTCAGGCCACGACCTCTCCTGACCTCAGTCCCCTGGCTCCCGAGTCAGAGTGGCAGAGCACAGACCCAGGGGACCCCGTGCTCTCCGAGGCCCCCTGGCAGGGCCCGAGCTCCCTAGAACCACAGCGAGCGGGGACTCCTCGGTCCAGCCTGTGAGTGGCAGGGCGCCTGTTCTGAGCTGGCAGCAGAGAGGACAGCACTGGGCTGGGCCGCAGCCCTCCCTTCCCATCCTGCCAGCCCCTCCAGCCCCTCCTACCGCAGCCCTGCTGGAGTGCCCTCAGGAAGGCCCCTTCTTCCCAGGACAGCCAGGGAACCACATGTTCCTGCTGTTTCCCCTGGGAAACCCTGGCGTCCTTTCCACACAGACCCCCCAGGGCCAAAACCGAGGCTCCCAGCCTGCTCCAGGGGCAGCGCTGTGTCATGGGTAGAAGGCAAATTACAGAGTCAGGAAACTGGATTTCATCCCCAGTCACCTGAGGCACGGGGCAGTAGGAGCTTGCCCAGAATAACCCAGCTGGGAAGCAGCAGAGCCCGCGCCCACAAGGACCCACGGTACACCCCAAGCCGCCCGCGTCTGCCTCCCTCACGGCCTGACCCCACAGCCCTCCTTCAGACCCTCTCTGCCCAGCATCCAGTCCTCACAGCGCCTTTCTCTCCCCAGGTTCTTTCGGAGCACGGCTATGGCCTGATCACGACCGACATTCGGGAGGGACAAACCTTCTACTACGCGGAGGATTACCATCAACAGTACCTGAGCAAGAACCCGGATGGGTACTGCGGCCTCGGGGGCACCGGAGTGTCCTGTCCACTGGGTGTTAAAAAGTAATGTCTCCGCATGTGGTCAGCCCTTGAAGTCACAGCCAAAATGCTTTCAACAAATTGGGCAGTGCTTCTGTGGCTCAGGTCAGTGGCTTTTTGAAGTGCACAAAGCGCGAAGGCATTCAGAAAAATCTGGTTTGACGAGGTCTAATTACACGAAGTGCAATGGCGAGTGGAGAGCATGTGGTTTATCTTCTACTAAGTTACAGTGGGAGTCCAACAGTGACTTTGTTTGGATCGCTCGGGGTCTGAATGAGAATAATGAATGCGCTGTCCTCCCCCCTTCTTGGGCCTGGGTGCCTGCCACGGAACCTGGGGAAGGAAGCTGGGAGATTGTCAGAGAGGATAAGGCATTTGGATGTGAGAGCTGTGCCCTGTCCCACCTCTCATGCCCTGCTGCCCTCCAGTGCCTTAAAATCTGCAAACATTTATAGCCTCAATGAATCATTCACCGCAATATTTTGCTCGACTGATCCTAGATGTGTAAGGGGCTTTCTCTCCTTTTCCGTCCTCCTGGGGCAGGGAAAAGATAAAAGTTAGTTGGATGAATTCTAATGCTTTGCTTACAGCTATGAGAAATGCTTGTTCTAATAAAAGTCTGCATCCTAATACAAACTGCTTTGTGCCTCATCTTTTGCTTTTTAGGCAGGATGTTTCTAAGTAATACTGTAAGATAAAAGCCTCACAATGACTTTCCCACAAATGGAAAACATGACTGAAAATTTTGGAAAACAGCTACACACCTCTGGTCCTGGTAACTTTGGTGATAATAGCTCTGTTCTACATGCCTGTTACAGCTGCCACATCACGTGCTCTTCTAATTAGAGTAGACATGTGCAATCCCTGCCCTTAAGAGTCTTTATATTCAAGACAAGGGGTGGGAACATAAGCAATCAACATGCAATTGCATGAACAAATAAGATAATCACAGGTCCTGACAGGTGATATGAAGATGATGGAGAGGATAGGGTAAGTTGGTCCAGGGGCTGGGAAGTTACCTACAGAGAGGTTTGGGCTGCATCGGTCAGGGAAGGTCTGGGGGGGTGGAGAAACAAGTTAACTGAATGATGCAAAGGAAAAAAACACAAGGGAGGAGAGAGAGCTTTGAGAGCAGGAGACGATTATGAAATACATTTTTCCCCATGCATTTAGTGTGTTTCTTTTCCTTCTTGGATTTCCTCTGTGCCCTAAGGCACTGTGAAAAAATTAAAAATAGAAATACCATATGATCCAGTAATTCCACTACGGGGTCTTTACCCAAAGAAAATAAAAACGCTAATTCAAAAAGATATATAGGGGCACCTGGGTGGCTCAGTTGGTTGTGTCTGCCTTTGACTCAGGTCATGATCTCGGGGTGCTGGGATAGAGCCCCACGTCCGGCTCTGTGCTCAGCAGGGAGTGTGCTTCTCCCTCTTCCTCTGCCCCTCCACAACGTTCATGCTGTCTCTCTCAAATAAATTTTAAAAAGGTATAATATATCCCTTTGTTTATCAAAACATCATTTATAATGGCCTAGACACAGAGGCAACCTAAGTGTACATCAATAGATGAATGATGAGGAGGATGTGGTTGGTGTGTACACACACACTTACACACACAACGGAATGGTACATACCACAGCCATAAAAAATGATGAGATCTTATCATTTGCAACAACATGGACAGACCTAGAGGGTACTATGCTGAATGAAATAAGTCAGAGAGAGAGAGACAGAGCGACAAATACCCTGTGATTTTACTCATATGTGGAATCTAAAAAACAAAACAAATGAATAAAGAAACACAAAGCAGAAACAGACCCATAAACACAGAGAACAAACTAGTGACTGCCCGAGAGTACAGGAATGATCAAAATGGGTGAAAGGCAATGAGAGGTAAAGACTTCCAATTATGGAAGGAAGAAGTCACGGGGATGAAAGTATAGCACAGGGAATACAGCCCGTGGTGTTGTAATAGTGTTGTATGGTGGCAGATGGTAGCTACGCTTGTGGTGAGCACAGCAGAATGGACAGAGTTGTCCAATCACTGTGTTGTGCACCTGAAACTAATGTAGCATTGTGTATCAACTATACTTCTGTTAAATACTTCTATTAAAAAATATTATTAGGGCTGCTTGGTGGCTCAGTGGGTTAAGCCTCTGCCTTCAGCTCAGGTCATGATCTCAGGGTCCTGGGATCGAGTCCCACGTCGGGCTCTCTGCTAGGCGGGGAGCCTGCTTCCTCCTCTCTCTCTCTCTCTCTCTACTTGTGATCTCTCTCTGTCAAATAAATAAAATCTTGAAAAAAATATTATTAAAGGGAAGAAGCCATACATGGATCGATATGCCTAATCAGTCTCAGCAACCCATTTTAGTTGCCTGCAGGAAAACCTTCCCACATAGAAGAGCCAGAAAGTATAAATGGCCCATGACAGGGAGAAATTTGTAGTGTTTGAGAAATAGAGAAGCCAGAGGGGCTGGAATACTGTGAATGAGGAAGAGTATTGGAGAAAGGTACCTGAGAGGTAGGAAGAGCCGGCTCATGTAAGACCTTGGAGGGACAGGTTAATGGAACTTGGGTTTTTGTTTTTTTTTTAATTTGATAAATTGACAGCCATTGGAGGATTTATAAATTTCTCCTCTTTTTTTTTTTTTTTTTTTTTTTTTGTATAGGCTGAGCAACTAGAGGAAAGGTGGAGTTATTTTCTTGTGAAGGAGTGGACAGAGGAGAGATCAGTGAGTGAATCCATTTTGGCCACACAAAATTTGAAGGGCTCTCATGTATCCTCATGGAAATGTGAGGGAGGGCAGTTTGCTGTGCAGTTCTGGGGCCCAGGAGGGATCTGAGAAAGACAAATATAAGAACCACCAGTACATAGATGACATTTGAGGTGTGAAACTAGTTTAGATCCTCTGGGAAGCAATGTAGAGGAGGAGAGGAGGTCAGAGGATTAAATGCTGGGGTGTTCTGACATACGGAGATCTGGGAAAAGAGGAGCAAAGGAATTTCCGGGGTGACATTTGAAGGAGACACATAAGGAGATGTGTCCTTGCAGTGACAGCTGAGCACAGATGTATCCCCCAAGAACTGAATAATGATCTGAGCGATGCAGAAGAGAAATTTGGATGACGCATCATGAGTTTGGGTTAAACTCAGACCAACTTTTTTCTATAGTTATACCGGAACATAATAAAAAATGACGAGGAAGCCAGGTCCTTTTGCTGAAGGACCTCCACAGCATATCAAGAAGTATATACTTTGAATCTTGCTCTAAGCCTTCCCCAGAGGCAACTGAGGGCCCTTTTACCCAAGTGACTCTATTCAATAAGTGGAAATAAACCCAGGTCTCCTTGGAGTTATCATTTACTGGTTATAAAATCAATGTGTTGGGACATCTGCCACCATGGTCTCCTGGGCAGGGTGGGAGGTTATAAAGACCAACTGATCAAATGCATGTTGTTCCAAGTCTATCTCACAGTAGGTCTAGTGGGTCTGAATAACACGCTTGAGGTTCTTTCTTCACTCTCAGTAGGCCTAATATGTATTAACTATGTTTCTAGCTTCTGTAAACTTGATGCTTTAACATTCCCTGCACACAAATGTTAGATACACCTTGTTTGGTCAACCCTATAATTGACCCAAGCCACATTCCCTTGGCTTCCTGCCTCCCTTGTCACTTTGTTTCTCCCTGGGGGAATTTCTCCTCCCAGAGGTAATTTTCCAGATATAAACCAATCCAGAGTTCACATCCCCATTTACCTCCTTTATTAGGCTCTTACACTCCAGACCATTATCTACCTCCCCTAAACACCCCAAGATCATCAGGTGCCAGACAATTAGGGACAGCTCTTGTGTCCCAGTGCCTGCTAAGATTATTAAAATGAGCTAATTCTAAATCTGCCTACCCTGTTCACCCCTTCCTGCCTTTGGGAACCACAATAAAGACTCTTGCCCACAGTTCCGCCCCTCCCTCTGTCTTCTGTCAGACATCGAGGCTTACCCTTATAGCCTCCCATGGCATGGCATGGCTGGCATTGCATGGCATGCCTCTTCCTCATGGACTCTGTGAGTAACAAATTCTCATTATAATGGCAATCATTTCATGTTTTGTTGACCCTACCACACCTAAATTATAAAACCTATTAAAACGTAATGGCGATAGACATACCTAATATGTGACAAAATCCCCATTTTAGTTCCCTGATTCATGAAATAAAGATCCCCAGGCTCCTCAATCCTAGTTGAGTGAAGAGAAAATAATATCTCTAAGAGAATTTAAAATATAAAGTTAAGTAATTCAGATGTTGAGATTGGCATATGCCCCTGTTTTGTTCCCAATTGGCAGATGTTAAGTCTAGATAGGTCTTGGGAAATGAATTTAGATTATTACACACTTAATAATATGCCAGATATAGCATACTTACTGGAACAATTAATATCGTTGTTGGCACCTCCAATGTAGCTATTTGCCAAGCAAATATTTTCTTCTCTATCCCTTGAGTAAAGACCATCAGAAGCATTTTGCCTTCACATAGTAGGGTCATCACTATGTCTTTGTTGTCCTGTCTCAAAGCTGTGCCAATTCTACTTTACATCATACAAAGAAACCTTGATCATCCTGGCATCTCACAGAACAACAACTGATCCATTGCACTGATGACGAATTGGATTTGGCAAGCAGGAAGGAACAAGCAGCCTAGACAGTGAGAGATTTTACCCCTAAAAGTTCAGGGATTACTACATTTGCTAAGTTTCTAAGTGTCTGGTGATCTGGAGCATGAAAGACAAGTCACTGGCACTTGGACTACCCATTGTGATAAAAGAGACACAATATTTAGTGGACCTCTTTGGCTTTGGGAAGCAACAGATAACCATGTTTGGGTGGGCTCATTTGAACTGTGGCTAGCACTGGATAACCCACCAGATTTGAGAGGGACCGGACCCAGAGCAAGAAAAGTCTCTTCAGCAGATCTAAGCTAACATACAAGCCACCTTGCCAGCACCAGTCCTAATGGTTGAATATATTTGTGGCAAATAGAGATGTTGGGTAGAAATTTTGGCAAATCCTAGTAGGAGAATCACAGTGCAGACCCTAGGGTTTGAGGAATAAAGCTATGCCCTCCTTCCTTCTCCATTGAAAACTAACCCCTGACTTGCTACTAGGTCCAGGTAGAGAAGTAGGCAACTCATGCTATCCCCTCATAATTTATTTTTAAGTGGAAATTGTGCACAAGAGATTGGGCTCACGAGCAATTTTAGTAAGTGTGAATAAACTGCAAGACAGGTCACTCAGACTCACATGATACTTACTTCAATTTCATCATTACCTTTCCTTTTTTCCACCCTATGACCTCATAGGGAACTTCCTATGACTGAATAGGAAGGAGAAAACTGTGGGTCTGGTTTATAGATAGCTCTTACTGTAAGCTGGCTATAGCCAGAAGCAGATAGCTGCCACTTTGTAGCATCACTTGGTTTGCCTGGACGACAGTGGTGAGAAAATTCTCCCAGGGGATGAAATCTGAGCAGTGCATTTGGTTATGTACTTCATACAGAAGGGGAGGTAGCCAGAGATATGCATCTGTATTGATTCATGAGCAGTGGCTAATGGTCAGGGAATGGTCACTGAGAGATAATGAGCAGTGAGGTCTAGGGGGGAATGATATGGGTAAATCTCTTAGATTGGGCACAAATATGGAAGTACTTATGTTCCACATAAATGTCCTTGTGAAGTCATCCACTTCAGAGTCAGTAGGCAAGTGGTAAGACTTCCCCATCCTGTGAGTCTCAGCCACATGACTGCTTGCTTAATGAGCTCACAAGCACAATGGCCGCAAGGTGGAAATGGAAGGTGTGCATGAACTCAGAAACATAGACTCACTAAGTCTGATCTGGTTACCCCCCAGTGCTGAGTAGCCAAAGGAGAATATCCCAGTGTGCTCACCTGGTCCATTGTAATTATTTTGCACCTTTTGTATTGCAGTAGATTATGATTTGTGCTCACAGGGTGGTCACATACTCCATATATTCATTTGCTTTACTATGCATAGAACTCCTTTAATCACTCTGTATGTGGAATTACCAGATGCTTTGTCTATAGTTACGATATAATGCTCCACAGCAACCCCTCCAATCAGAAGACATATTTCATACTGGAAGAAGTGTGGAATGAGTTTCTACTCAGAGAATTCACTGATCTTACCACATTCCCAATCACTCAGAAGCAGTTGGTTTGACGAGACTGTGGAATGGCCTGCTGAAGGATTGGTTACTTTATCAGCTGAGTGGCAACCTCCTATCAAGTTGGTTGACTTGATGTATGACTTAGATGTATGTATGATGTATGACTTAGATCTGTATCCAATATTTGTATGTATGTATGTATGACTTAGATCTGTATCCAATATTTGTTACCATTTGTCCTTGAGCCAGAAGGTATTGGTCCACGAGCCAAGACATGGAAGTGAGAGTGATCAGTCTCACTATAGCACTAAGTAATCCACTGGAAAAATTTTTGCTTCATATCCTCAAGACTTTTGACTCAATAGGTTAAAGTTTCTAGTGCTCAAGGGATCAATGTTTCTATTAGAAAACACATTCATGATTCCCTTTGAATATGGAGTAGAAACTCTCCCCTGGACACTTTTTTGCTTCTTGTGTTAATGAAACAATAGAAGTATAAGGGAGTTCCTGTCCTAATCAAGATGAATGATCTCAACTTTCAAGGAGAAAACAGTGGGTGCAAGGATTATATGTGGACTTCAGCCCTAACAGGAGTAGGTTTGGATCACACAGCAGGCAAAGAACTCTACCCATCTGATTTGCTGGCAGAGAGAAAGGGGGCCGTGAAATGGGTGGTACAAGAAGGAAATTGTGTTATCAACTTAGTTTTCATGTTACTTTTTTAAAAAGATTTTATTTATTTATTTGACAGAGAGAGATCACAAGTAGGCAGAGAGAGAGAGAAGGAGAGAGGAAAGCAGGCTCCTTGCTGAGCAGAGAGCCTGATGCGGGGCTCGATCCCAGGACCCTGAGATCACAACCTGAGCTGAAGGCAGTGGCTTAACCCACTGAGCCACCCAGGCGCCCCTCATGTTATGTTTTAGGTACATTAATTGTCCTCTTTCCTCTCCATTTTACCTCATTACCTTATATGAAGTTATGACAAAATTGACATACGAAAAATTTGCTAATGGGACTTTGTGTGTAGGGAACATGAACTCTTTATTCAGACAAAAGATAAGGGAGACTGTGAATGTCAAAAGACAAAAAAGTAGTGTTATAGATTGCTACAGATACTGTGTTTTCCCAACATTTATAAGCTGAAACCCTAACCCTCAATGGGATGGAATTAGGAGGTGGGGACTTTGGAAAGTAATTAGGTTTAGATTAAGTCATGAGGGTGGAGTCCTTATGTTGGGATTAGTGCTCTTATAAGAAGAGAAGGAGAGGGGCGCCTGGGTGGCTCAGTGGGTTAAAGCCTCTGCTTTTGGCTCAGGTCATGATTCTGGGGTCCTGGGATCGAGCCCTGCATCGGGCTCTCTGCTCCGCAGGGAGCCTGCTTCCTTCTCTCTCTCTGCCTGCCTCTCTGCCTGCTTGTGATCTCTGTCAAATGAATAAATAAAACAAAATCTTAAAAAAAAAAAAAAAGAAGAGAAGGAGACAGGTGCTCACTCTCTGGGCTGTGTGAGGTTGTGGCAAGAAGGTGGTTATCTACAAGCCAGGGAAGTGGCCCTCATCATTCACCAGATCTGTCAGCACCTTGATCTTAGACTTCTCAGCCTCCAGAACTATGAAATAAATGTCTGTTAAGCCACCCAGTCTATGGTATTTTTGTTAAAGCAGCTTGAACAGTCTGCCTAACTCAGCCTATGCTGAATATCCTTTTGTTCCTTCAGCTCCAAACAACCCTTCTATATCTTACTGTGTCCCAGGAGTCCTGAGTGGGCTGTAACGAACAATAGGCTTCCTTTATGTCTTGCTTTAATTTGGGTCAGGCCAACAGAAGGCACTAGTAGGAGACTGAGGGTGGGAGACGATTAAGGTATTTACTCTCCCAGCAGTTCCCCATGGGCTGCCTGTGAATGGGTGATAATTGCTCCATGCTGTTGCTGCTTATGGCCTACAACACCATCTATTTAGAGTCTCCTAAACCCTGTTTACTTTGTAAATATTCCCTATATGAACATCTTCTTAATTATCCAGGCGGAGTGTGCCATTTATTTCCTGGCAAGACCTTCAAGATACAAATAGGGAAGGTAAACTTTCTTCCACAATTAATTCTGAAAATTCTCATAAAAAGATGCTTCTATTCTAGGGTTCATGTTAATTAAGTAAAAATATTTTTAAATACTGTGCCTTGGCATGTAGAATTACAGCTTTTTAGAATGGGGAAGAGTCTTATAGGTTATTTAAATTACAGCCCTTATTTTATAAGTGAGGAAGTTGAGGACCCAAGAGACTTTTTTTCACTATTAGAAAGTGCCACAAATTCATTTACATATCAGAGAGAAATCTCCCTCCTGTGGTTTTCAGATCATTGGCCCTGGTCCTGCCCTCTGGGGCTACCAAGGAAGTCTGACTCTCTTCCTTAGGAGATAGGTACTTGAGGATATTTGAAAACAAAATGACTCTCTTCAAGTGATATTTTCTAGGCTCGATAACGTTTTTATCCCCTCTAAAACCTTAATTCACACCTGCTGACCACCACTACTAGATGTCCCAGGCCCAGCAATGAAAATCATTTGTCTAAGGTTGTACTGTCCAACATGGTAGCCACTAGCCACATATGTCCATTTAAATTTAAGTTAATTAAAATTAAATATAATTAAAAACCCAATTCCTCAATTCTACCATCTACATTTCAAGTAGCTAAGTGGCTACTATATTGGATAGTGCAAATTTAGAACATTTCCATTACTGCAGGAAAGTTCTATTAGACAGCACTAGTCTAAGGAAAGAGTTTGATTGGACTTGCAGGTCCTCCAATCTTTATCATATCCTTTCTTAGTGGAGTTAAGTCATCTCATTGGCCCAGAGGATCAATAAAAGCCTAAGTATTTT